TTTTAAAAATTACAGACTTGTTCAGGTACATATGGGTCGTCTTCCTATCCTTCATTTAAACTATGGCTGTGGTACAGACAGGTTTTCAAGATATTGCAGCAAGCAAAGGTGAGCCAGAGCTGCTCCCTCATAGGGAATCTGCTAATCACCACAAAAAAAACAAAAAGAGAGGACTCCCTAAGTTTCCAGCCTAAATATGTTATAGATCGCTAAGTGGCACACTGCATAGAGCACTGAAAGACCCAAGTTCAGATCCAACTTAAGACACTTCCTGGGCAAGTCACTTAGCCGATATCTGCCTCATTATCCTCATCCATGAAATGAGGATAATAATAGCATGTACCTCCTAAGGCTGTTGTGAGGATGAAATGAGATAATATTTGTAAAGCTGTTTGTAAATCTTAAAGTGCCATGTAAATGTTAATTATTATTATTCCAATTGCAGTTGTACAAGTGAGAGTCTGAGATTTCACCAGTGTGGATTTCTAGCTGCTGAAAGTTACCTTTCGAAATGTATTGTCTCTCCCCCTCTTGGTCCCCCTCCCTCTTTTTTTGTTGAAAGTATACCAGAGTAAGATTATCTACTGATGAAAGTTACTTTGGGGAGGCTGGGATGAGGTGGGAAATTATCCAAAGACAATGACGGATATTGTTTTAGGGAGTGTATGAAGGTCCGTAGGTAGGCTTTTTCTTTCTAGGCATTCTAGGGCTGGTAATAAATCAATCAGTATCAATCAATGAACATTTATTAAGCACCTACTAGGTGCCTGGTACTGTGCTAATTAATGCTAGGGATTCAAAAAGAGGCCAAAGACAGTTCTTGCCCTCAAGGAGCTTGTGATCTAATGGAAACCACAAACAAGCTATATGCAGGTTAAATAGGTTAGTTAACAGTGGGAAGACACTAGAATTAAAGAGAGGTTCAGAAAATCTTCCTATAGGAGATGGGATTTTAGTTGGGACTTAAAACCAGGGAAGCCAGTAGGTGGAATTGGAGAGGAAGAGAATTCCAGGAATGGGAGACAGTTGTGCTGAGCCAAAAGATGGAGTATCCTGTTGATGGAAACCCATAAAGGCATTTCAGTCTTAGCTCACCCTCAACACTTGAGTTTTTTAGTTTCTTTAAATCTATTTGAAAAAATACCCGCATGACCTACAAAAATTCATTGTTCATTATTTAGTCTTTTTTCAGTTGTATCAGATTCTTCAGAACCCCATTTGGGGTTTTCTTGGCAAAGATTCTAGAGTGATTTGCCATGTCCTTCTCCAGCTCATTTTACAAATGAGGAAACTGAAGCAAAGAGAGTTAAGGGACTTGGCCAGGGTCACACAGCTAGGAAGTGTCTGAGTCTTCCTGACTCCAGGCCTAGTGCTCTATCCACTGAGCCACCTACCTGTCTACTAAAATTAGGGTGAGCAAAAGAATAATTAATCCAAAGTGTTGGGTTTTCCTAGAAAGAGGTTCAATATTATAGAACTTTTAATACTAGGTAAGGAAATCCCTACTGTTTGCAAAGTGATATTTGTCATAAAGCAGTTGTCATTGAACAAAGAGCAAGATTTCTTAAATTAATTTTTGAAATTAGAAGTATTGATGAGAACAAGTTTTCTTCCTTTTGTTTGTGTTTACTGAAGTATTGCATACTAAAAGTTTTCTACTATTGGACCCTAGAATTTTTCATCTCCTTATATGCCAAATCATATCATTCAGAGTTAAGTTTCAAGACTTAGAAAAACTTCAGTCTTTCTGAGGTCTAGTCTGTGTTGTTCTCAAGTTAAGCTAAAGAAAAATTTTTTCTTCCACTTTTTTAAAATTTGTGTCTTCTGCCTTTAGGTATGGTTGTGGTAGATGCTATGTACATTTGTGCACTGTCATATTAAGTTTTTAGACAGTGTGGAGCCTTGCTAAATGAGCTGATGATGATCTAGCAATTCTGACTTAAAAGCAAATGCTACTGGCTAAAAAAGAGTCAATGAGAATGAAGAGGAGAGTAGTGTAGTAGGAAGGGGTGAGAAGCTGGGAGACCTGGATTGGAGCCTGGGCTCAAGCTATACTTCAAGTCTGAAATAGTCTTCCTAAATGTAAAATTCTAGGAAGACTTTTAGCTACAGACCATAGGACAGTTTTCATAGTATGTATAATATGTGAAAAGAACTTGTACATGTATGGGTCTTGTTATCCACCCTTGCTTTGTGACCTTCCTTAAGTCACTTGACCTTCAAGTCACCACGCAAAATGTTGGATAAATAAAACTTATGCCACCTAGCTCACAGAGCCATTGTAAAAGAATAAAAAGAAATGATATGTGAAATGTTTTGTAGCCATAAAGCTATTATTCTTAGATCCTAAATGTTGCATGTGTAAGAGCAAATCTATTTGGTAGCCTTCTTGCTGTTCCTGGTATGACACTGAATCTCCTGTCTCTAGGCTTTTTCACTTACTGTCCCTCCTGCCTAGAATTCTTTCTCTCTTCATTTCTGCTCTTCTTGATTCCCTGGCTTCCTTCAAGGCCCAGCTAAAGTCCCACCTGTATAGGAAGCCTTTCCTGGGCCCTCTTAATGCTAGTGTCTTCCCTCTGTTGATTATCTCCAGTTTATCCTGTATATATCTTGCTTATGTGTCGTTATAGTTGTGGCCCCCATTAGAGCAGCAATTGTTTTTTTTTCTTTCTTTGTCTTAGCAGATCTCTTAGCACAGTACCTAGCACATAATAGGTGCTTACTAAATGTTTGTTGATAACACTGTCAAATAACGCCTTCCTCTGTTACTGTGTAGTAAATAAATAGTTAATCTGTGGCTAAAATCACACCATATCTTTCCTGATCTCCTTTGTTGCTAGGGCCTTCCCCATAAGGTTTATCCTTTCTATTGTTTATATATAGTTGTTTGCATGTTTGTCTTCCCCTGTACCATCTTTTCTCTTTCTTTGTATCCCCAGCTCTCAGCACAGTGCCTGGCACATAGTAGAGTAAGTGCTTATTGAATGAATTAGTTTAGCCCTGTAATACAGTATATCATATAACTTAGACCAAAGTGGTTCAAAATATCCTTTACATTTAAAACTAATATCCTGTTATGCATTTGACTGACCTGTGTCCATTGGTGCCATAGAATGGTAGATCTAGTGTGTTATAGATTGTAGTTTGATTGTTGCCGTGCTGTCTTTTAGATACAGTTCTAGACCATTACAATTTTTGATAAAGAGGAAAAAAGGCAGTTGCATGGCAAACTGAAGCAGAATAAGTGCAGAAAGGAAGGCTGGAAGTCTTTAGGTTAATTTGACAGGTTCAGCAGCAAACATGTGTTATGTGCCTGGCACCATGCTGGGCACTGAGGAGATAAAGATAGACACCAAATAGCTCAAGTTGTTTTCCTTCAGCGGGGGGAAGGAGAGGATACAGCTAAGTGAATAGAAAGTAGTTTCAAAGGGAGATACAAATAGGAGAGGATGTGCTTCAGAAAAGGATTTATGTAAGAGGTGACCTTAGAATTATACTTTAAAGAAAGCTAGGGGCTTCTGAAAGATAGAAGTGAAAAAGGAATGCCCAGGGTCAGCAAAATTGTGGAAGCAGGAAATGAAATGCTGTACATTAATTGGAGTATGTTTATAAATAGGGTGACATGAAAACAGATATGTATATGTGTATCTCCATCAATACACCTAGCACAGCTTCAAGTCTCAAAAAAAATTGATATTGTCCCATTTTTAAACTTTGAATTTTAGAGCAAAGTTCAAGTTTTAGTTGCTTTAGTTTGATGCATTAAAAATGGCCTTTATGTTTGAGTACTCAATAAATATTTGCCTTAAATAAAAAAAAATCTTGAGTTTGGGAGTGGGAGGTAGCTCTTTACAAATAGTGGTTCTAGGTTAAGCTTAAATTTTAAGAGGCAACATTTATAACATTTAATGGGCTTTATAATAATGATTGCAGCTGCAGACCAAAGAACAGTCTTCATGTGTGTAGAATATGCAAAGGGAATTGGCCTTGTCAGCTATGTATCTCAGTTGCCATTGGAATGTCAGTCAACAAGAGGTCCAGAGGTCCTTCATTGTAATGCAGTGGAGAAGATGCTGGTTGGACTTGATATCGAGATCTGAGTTCCAATTCCTGCTGTACCACTTGATAATAGCTCTGTGACCTTGGATTGTTGAATCAAAGACTATTAGAGATGGGAGGACCTTGAAGACTATCTGCGAAATCAAGCTTTCAGGATCCTGGTTTTCCTCATCTGTGAAGAGAGAGGATTGATCTAGTCTGTAAAGGTTCCTTCTGTTTCTAACATTGTCTGAGAAAGGTCTGCTCATTTCTTCCAGAGCCTAAAGAATAGCTGAGATGGAAAAACTTAAGTGAGAGGATTTACTGTAGCATTACAACTGAAAAGGACTTTTCAAGATTCTCCAAACCTCAGGTCCTTGGCCTGGGGTCTGTGAACTTGATTTTTGTTTGTTTTTAATACTGTTATGACTGTATTTCAATATGATTAGTTTCCTTTACAATCCTATTTATTTCATTTTATCCATTTAAAAACATTCTGTCGAAGCAGCTAGGTGGCGCAATGGATAGAGCACCAGCCCTGGAATCAGGAGGACCTGAGTTCAAATTCAGCCTCAGACATATAACACTTACTAGCTGTGTGACTGGGCATGTCACTTAACCCCAATTGCCTCACTGAAACAAAACAAAATATTCTGTCAAAGGAACTCTATGATGCAAAAAAGGTTAAGAAACTTGCTCTAGTCCTACACCCTCATCCTAAAGATGAGAAATTCAGGATATGCCTTAAACTATTAATCAGTAAAACCTCAAATGCAAGAAAAGAAATGGTGAGAATAAGAGCACCAGTTTTGGTATTTAGTGGCTCTGCTTTCATCCTGCCTAGTGACTATTGATAAGAAATACAGAAGCAAGGAGAAGAGAAGAGAGGGAGAAAGGCTTCCTTAAACCAGGTGAGAAGAAAAAGAGGAAGAGATGAGGAAAAAGAAACAAAGAAGGAAGGAAAGAGAAAAAGAACTGTCAGATGGTCAAGTCACTTTTATGTCATGTTTTGGTAGTTTTAATATATATGTTTGTGTCATTACAATAACAAGTTTGTTAATTATATAACCTAGGAAACCAGATCTGATTATTTGGGGTACTGACTTCATTTCCCCTCTAAATTGTAGTGTCATTTCCCAAAAAGTAGTTTTATCGCTACATTACCAAGCCTTTCATTCATATGTAATCTAATGTACTTCCTGCAGTGTGGACCTCTGGGAAATCAATTGTTCAAATACCTTAAAACAAAGCATCTGAAAAACTGTGAAATACTCCATAGTAATCTCTTTTGTCATTTCCAGACACTTTTGTGAGCAAAGCTTGACCCTGGCAACAGTTGCTAAGGAAGTTACAATTTATAGCTTCAAGTCTGAAGGTCAACCTTCAGTAAAACCACCTTCTCAGCTCCATGCAGTAAGGTCCTTCAGTTTTCCCAATGCTTTTATTTGTAGGGATTCCTTTAATTCATAATGGTGAATGATTTAATCCTCAAGCCATCCTCCAGACTTCACCTTGAAACAGTAAACCACCTCCAGTCTGCTGAAAAGATTATTTTCCCTCAGAATCCCTATTATTGCTTTTCCTAATCCTAGAATGATAGTATCAGCCACTCTACATTTTGAATGTTGCCTTAAATTCAACTATGATTCGGAATCCAAATCTCGAAAACTTTGTTTGCTGTGCAGTATGTAATAAAGTAATACCACCACCACCTACTGAGGAAGCTTTTGAACGGATCCATGAATACAAACCATTTAAGACAAGGTTTTATACTCATAAGGATATACTAGGTAAGTGAGTCTGTGATCTCCTCTAGTTGCACTAATATTTCGTAGTGGCAGATTTAAGCCTTCCTGTCACCTCATTGTCTATCTCTGCTTATGTTTGTTGATTAAAGTTACATGATCATTAACTTGTGTGTCTTCCAACCATTTTTTCAGTCCAGATCTATGACTTCATCAGTATAGGGAATTCCGAGGGTGGAAACTCTTTAGTGCTTCAGATCAGCAACTTTAATTTATGGTCTTAGAGAGTTTGCTTAGGGCTTTTGAGAGGTTAAGTGAATTGCCCAGGTCTACATAGCCACCATGCATCAGAGGCAGGAGTTCCAGGTCGTGCTGATAAGACTTACCATACCATACTGTCTACTAGGATCTGCCTCTATGTAGTGTCTCTAACTAATTGGGGTAAGTAGAGGAGGAATTTCCACTAAAAGCAAGAAATAATGTGATTCCTGGAGGAGAATTTGTCTCCTTTGCTGCTTTTTTCCAATCAATCAACAAGCTTGCAGTATGCATGCTACACTATGTATGTACAGACTTGCTTTAAATCTAGGTACTTTCCTAGCTGCCTTCTCTGTTCTGTGGTGATGGTGTCTACATCCGTAGCTTCAGGTATTACTTCTGTGCAGTTCATAGGATAATTTATAACTGGATGAGACTTTGGAAATCACCTAGTCTACCACCTATCTTTTACATATGAAGACAGTGAGACCCAGACAGGTGAATTGCTTCCTCAAGGGAGCATAGCCAAGATTCATACTCAATTCCTCTGACTTTAAACCAGTGCCCTTTGCACAGCAGTGCAAAGGTTCTGAAAATATTATCTGCCTACTCCAAAATCTTCATTAGGCGGAGTCTGCTGCTGGTGGAGGTAAGACCAAAGTCCCTCAAGTGACATTGAAACCCTCCATAATCTGTTTTTTTTATTATTCTTTTTTCATTGACAAGTATTTTAATTTCTCTTCCTGCCACCTCTCCCTGCCAATATTGAAAAAAAGGAAGGAAAAAAGAAAGCTCTTATTAAAAAAATCTTCGTTGTCAAGCAAAACATTTCATTGGCCATATTAAAAAAATGTCTCATTTTGCATTGAGTTTGTGATCACCTCTGTCAGGAGGTGGGCAGCATACTTTTTTACCATTGGTCTTCTGGATGGTAGGTGGTCATTACACTTAATACTCAGAGCATAATTTGGTTTCAACTTTATCATAACAGTGGAAAAACAAAACAGAACTCCAGACTTGAAGTCAGAAGACCAGAGTTTGAGTCAGAACTCTGCTTCTGATTAGCTGATCTTGGGCAAGTCAATCTCTCTGAGCCTTAGTTTCTTCATTTGTAAAATAGTGGTATTTGCTTTGCCTATATCACAGGATTATTGTGAGGATAAAATGAGATAATATGTCAAAGTGCTCTGTAACCATCAAATGTGCTGTAAGTTATTTCTATTAGTGTGCTTCACATGTCCTATATTGTAGCCACACTAGATCAGAGGATTATAGACTTAGAGATGGAAGGGACAGATGAGGGAACTAGGTCCTTGAGAAGTTAAATGACTGAGCTGCCCAAGCTTACATAAAATAAGTTAAAGAATCAGGATTAGAACCCATGTCCTCTGATTCAAATGTCAGTTGTCTTTCCTTTATATGACGTTGCCTCTCAGATTACTTGCATTGTTGCATTGCATGATGATATCCCAGTTAGTCAATAAACATTTGTTAGGTGCCTACTGTGCCAGTCACTGTGCTGCTTTCCTGGATCCTTGTACTTTCCACCTTAACTTTAAATGCCTCCTTTTCCATTCCTGTCTTTTAAAATCCTAGTCATCTTTTTGACCCAGCTCAAATGTCACCTCCTTTGTGAAATATTCCCTGATCCCCCTTGTAATCAATGCAGGGAGTAGAGTTACATGTTCTTTTCTTCATTCCTTTATCCCCAGTTTTCCTATCAGAAAAGCATTCCAAGCTGACTTGGAGCCTTATAAAATGGTTCCCTAAAGTAATCCCAAATGCTCCTGTGTCCTTTTTTTTTTGTTTTTGTTATTACCCTTATATTAATACTATGTGACTAGATGTAGTTCCATTTCATTACTAGCACTTGTGGTAGGGATATATAAAGATATGAAGACCATCCTTCAGATTTAGTGGCTCAGGGGGACTAAAGGTTTATACTGTTGATATCACTTCCTCTTTTCTGGAGTACAAAAACAACCATGAAATGCCGCATAACATTCTCTCTGAAGCTTGACTAGGAGATCCTGATGAGTAGCTCAGGCTGGGGAGCTTTGCTCATCTGAATCACTTGAGCTGTTCTGAAGGCCTATCCTTGTTTTATATCCTTCTCTTACTATGGTAAAATAAATCTCCTTTTATTAACTGTTGATTGACCTTACAAGTGTCTCATTTTGATCCTAAGGAAAGAGATAAAAACCTCAGACCAATGGCTCCCCCACATGTGGCTGAGTAAGCAGTGACTCCTTGAGGTCAAATATCAAAGGCTGATTTCCAAATATGGTCTGGCCATCCCAGGGCACATTCTAGGCTAATTCCCACTACCCATAGATAAAGAGGCACAGAAGAGACCCCAGTTCTCTTGAGAAACTCACAAGCAGTAACAGCTCTGAGGTTCAAATTCCATGGAAAATATTCTTCAGGTAATTACTCTAACACACAAAAAAAGTACAGAAACAGAAACACAGGACTACAGTGGATACAATGGTTCTCCTAGTTCCATGTCCCTGTAGCTGTACTCTAATGGTACCTCATACTTCCTCTGGCTTCTCCAGAGCAAATCTAATTTTTCCTAATTTGGCCTAATCCTGATCACCAACACTAGTGGATATTCTGATATCAGTTAATTAATGAGTATTATTTGTTAAAGAGCCTATTGTGCACCAAGTATTGAGTATATAAATACAATAAATGAACAATCCCTTACGAAGAGCTTACATTCTAATGGAAGAGACAAGTATACATGTAGAATTGTGTATATATGGTTGCTGGGAAGTGCCTGGAAGCCCCTGGGCCTGAACTGCTTCCTGTTCTTCCAATTTTAACCAACTCTTCATTGTTATGTCTATGTAGGGACAAGATCTTCCCTGCCTCCTCTACAGCCAAATCCCTGCCAACATAATAAATGTTCATCTACGCTAATGATAGGTCATCTTGGCAGTTTGACTTCCCTGTCTTCTATGTTTGGCCTGTGGGAGCTACCAATGGGAAAAGTAAATGGAACACCTTTTGTAACCATACTTGTCAATTTCCAAAAGACTTTCTAGAGTCCATGGAATATGAATAATTAATTATGATTCCTGACCTGATTTGACTTTCTACTTCCGAAACAGTGTTTCCCTATCCCTGTATAAGGGAATGCCTTTTTTTTTTTTTAAGACTTAAGCAAAATTGAAGGTATGAAGCAAGAGTTCTCAAACTTTTTGGTGTCAGGATCCCATTACAGTCTTTAAAAATTATTGAGGACCTCCTCCCCCCAAAACCTTCTGTTTATGTGAGTTATACCGGTTAATATTTACCATGTTAGAAATTTTTTTTTTTTGGCTAGGCGGTGGGGTTAAGTGACTTGCCCGGGGTCACACAGCAAGTGAATGTTATGTGTCTGATGCCAGATTTGAACTCAGGTCCTCCTGACTCCAGAGCCGGTGCTCTTATCCACTGTGCCACCTAGCTGCCCCCATGTTAGAAATTATTATTGTTGTTGTTTGTCCTTGGTACTTGAAGAGGACCAATTATATCACAATGTTGGGGTGAAGGTACAGTGTGTTCAGCTGTGGCTGAGCACTCCAGTATGAGCTCAGAAGGCTCCAACAAGATTAGGCACAAATAGATCATTTAAACAATTTTGGGATGGAGATGTCTTTAGATGTCTCTGTTTCCTTTGTGCTACTGCAATTCTGCTTTACTCATAGAGCATGTAGCATCTTCTTTGATGTAGACAGTCTTGTACCAGCATTTCCCATGTCTCACAATTGTTACTAAAGTTCTTCAGAGAGACCTTGAGAGTGTCCTTGTACTGCTTCTTCTGACCTATGTGTAAGCACCTGCCTTACGTGAGTCCTCCATAGCATATTAGTATTAGAAATTGTATAATTATTATTATTATTATTATTTTGAAAATAGCTTTGATCTCAGCTCTCCACACATCCACCCGTAAAGGGCCTTGGGGGCCCATGACCATATTTTGAGAACTGCTGCTCTGAGAGGAAAAGATGGAGACAGTGAAGTGAGAGAATAAGGTCCTTGCATATGAAAAGACCAGAGATAATAAACCTGCCCCTGGGCACAGATTGCCTTCTTACTACCCTTACCTCCAAGTATTTGTGTAAAGATCCAGTAGGAATCCAGAAATTTAACTGGATAGTCACCGTAAGTTAGGATGAGGTTTCCTCACCAAGGGAACCCAGTTCTGAACCATGAATAGCTGTTGAGCAAGAAAATTTATAACTCTTCCACCTGCCTGTTAGGTAATCTCAGAGCTGAGACCCTTTGGCAGTCAAATAGAAGTGGCTTTTGTCAGTCCTTGACAAAAGGTTTCTACCTTTTCTGAAAGAGCACAGTAGCACTCCAGCTGAAAGGAACACAACTTCCCAGCTGAAGTATCAGAATAACCCCCGTCCCTGGCTGAGATTAAATAAAGGTGGCAGAGTGTATATAGCTCTATATCAAAAAAATAATCCCAGAGAGTCTAGCAGATAAAGCCATCCAGTACAGGTGCCACATTCTCTAACAAGTCAGCCTAGCAGCCAAGTAATTTGCCCAGTTTAACCTGGAAATAAATTGACCTGTCCAGCTGAAAATCCTGTGCATTGTAAAGAGCCAGTTAAGTAGTGGAGCAGCCCATTTGACACTGGCATGATGCCTCAGCTGCCAGTAAATTTCATGAAGACTCTAGAAAAAAGGACTTCAGATTTCTACAGTTCTGGAGTTGTGGGTTACCTTGGCCACACAGTTCCTCTCTATGTGTGTCTTATTACCACTTCACTTTAAATATGGGCCTACTCTTCTGTTTACCCCAGGACTTTTGGTAGGAGAGTATGCCTAGATTTTTGGAGGGGGAAATGCTTTGTTGAGTAAATGTCTTTTCCAAGAGCTAATTGAGTCTACTAGCTAATTGCTAGTGGAAAGTCTGCCAGTAGGGGCTTGTGTACTATAGTGTTATGAATAGTCATTCACAAGATTGTCCTGGAACCCAAGGTAGTAGGTGCCCTTCTGGGAACCCAACATGCTAATATGAATACAAATCGGGAGGGGAGTCCAGAGAGAGTGTAAATATGAGGGAGTGTAAAATAAGCATGACTTTATTTACTCTTGATACTTTGGAGGTCATGTTGATTTTTTTTACAGGTTATTCAAATGCGGTGTTTAATATTTCAGGGTCATGTAGCTAATGTGTGCTCTATTGTATGTGCTCCCCAAAGGAAGAAAGTGAATCAATTACTTATGAAGTTTAATTAGGTTCATAATTAACATACCTTTAATGTCAAATATGGGGGCTACACACTATCTTCACAATATGCTATACAAATAATTTAAATTACTTTCATTTCACATGCCTGGTCATGTTTCTTCCCAACCAATCTTTAGTCATTCAGTTTTCACACTGCAGATGTTTAGTGTGGAGAAGAAAAGACTGAGAGGAGGTATCACCACTGTCTTTTAGTTGGAAGAGAGATTAGATTTCTTCTGTTTGGCCCCAAAGGACAAAACTAAGAGCAATGAATGGAAGTTGGAAAGAAGCAAATTTAAGCTTGATGATGCCAGGAAACTTTTAAAACAATTAGAGTTCTGCAAAAGTGGAATGAGCTTGACACATGAGTTCCTTCTCAGTGGAGGTCCTCAAGCATGAAATGAAGAGCCAACCATTTCTAGGGTGTATTGAAGAAGGGATTTTTGTGTAGGCATCGGTTGGACTAAATGACTTCTGAAGTCCCTTCCAGTTCAGAGATTCTGTGAATCTCCTCCCATCCTCCCAGTCCCTCAGGACTCACCTCCTTGGAGTCATCCTGTATTCCTCACTATCTCTCACCTCTCATAACTGAAATGGTGCCAAGACTTGTCGATTTCACCTTTGCAACATCTCTTGAATAAGCCCCCTTCTCTTCTGTGACACTGCTACCACCCTGGTGCAGGTCTTCATCACCTCATGCCTGGGTTATCGCCATAGCCAGCTGATGGGTCTGCCTGCCTCAAGTATCCCTACTCTCCAATACATGATCCATTTAGCCATTAAAGTGATTTTCTTAAAGAGCAGATCTGACCGTGTCACCACCCTACTCAATAAACTCCAGTAGCTCCCTATCACCTCCAAAATAAAATACAAAATGCTCCGAGGTTCAAACACCTTCATAACCTAGCCTCCTCCTATCCAGTCTTCTTAGACCTTGGTCCCTACCATGAACTCTTCAGTCCAGTGACACTGGCCTCCTGGCTGTTCCATGAACAAGATACGCCATCTCTCAGCTCTGGGCCTTTTTTCTGACTGTCTCTCATGCCTAGAATGCTCTCTTCATCTTTGCCTACTGGCTTCCCCAGCTTCCTTTAAGTCCCAATTAAATTCCCATCTTTTACTGGCAGCCTTTCCCAACCCTTCTTAATGATAGTGCCTTCTCTCTCTTAATTGCTTCCTATTTATCCTGTATACAGCTTGTTGGTGTGTAAATTTTTGCTTGTTATTTTCCCTATTAGATTGTGAGCCCCTTGAGGCCATCTTTTGCCTCTTTTTGTACCCCCCCTACTTTTATGTCCCTGGCACATAGGCACTAAAGCTTATTTACAGACTGACTGAACACTATATTAAGCAAATGAACATGAACATCAGCCCTGTTTCCAAGCAGCCCCCATGACTATCATCTAAAGAAGTAGTCTCTCTAAAGCAGAGAGGCTCACCATTTTTGCTACCACCAATACCAACTGCTAGCCAACTGCCACCATCAAGTGGGTAATTGACACTGAGACAAGTGACTTGCCCAGGGTCACAGAGCTAGTAAGTGTCTGAGACCAGATTTGAACTCATGGAGATAAGTCTTCCTGACTCCAGACCCAGTTCTCTATCCACTGCACCACACTGTTGCTGACATGATGTTTGTGGTGCTTGTTCACAGATATTCAAATGTGCCCACACGTAAGCTTCAGGGACTGTAATTGTTTTACTGAGGGAAAGATGCAATCTCCTCCTGATTCTTCAAGAGGATCAGAAGAGAAGGAAGGAACATGCCTTTCAATGTTGTCATGTCTACCAAGCTTCACTTGCTGAGGGAGAATGCAAAAAGACCAAAAGGCCTAGAGATAAAAATTATATAGGATGATGGCCTCTGCTAATTTAGAGGGAGTAAAAGGCAAAAGTGAGAAATTTGGGATATAGGAAGAGTCTATCTTCATGACTGGGCCATCCTTTGAGATGCCACTGTTCTACTTGAACAATAAGGCAGTAGTGAAGAGCAGGGGATCTTACATATAGCCATTCCTGAAAGTGGCCAAAGGGCAGAATCATCAGATCTGCCTGTGTCACAACAGTGAACAAGGGAAAAGTCAAGGAGATGTCCTAGTTCCTGATTTTCCCAACTGATTGGTAACTGCCCTTAAGGAGGCCATAAGTAGAAGAACCTTGGGGGAAGATTGCTGGTTCTGTGTGGGAGTACCTGAATCATGTACCTGGAACTCCTGAATTTAGGGCTGCCTAGGATTGGAGGATGGCAACTAGGTGATGCAGTGGATAGAGTGCCAGGCCTGGAATCAGGAAGACTCATCTTCTTGAGTTCAAATCTGGCCTCTGACACTTACTAGCTATGTGATCTTGGGCAAGTTACTTAACTTTGTTGGCCTGTTTCCTCATCTGTCAAATGAGCTGGAGAAGAAAATGGCAAGCCACTCCAGTATCTTTGCCAAGAAAACCCTAAATGAGGTCATGAAGAATCAGACATAACTGAACAACACCACCATCCAAGTATGAGAATTTTTTGAATTTTAAGTATTGGTAAAATGGGTGTAATAATTCTTACCTCACAGGGTTTCTATGAATATGAGATGAAGTCATGGATATGAAAGTGCTTTACAAGGTTAGAAGTACTCCTCCAATATGAAGTAGTACTACTACTATTATTACTACTAGTCCTCTTTTCTACTGAACCCCACAACTGAAGGCACTGAACTCATGAAAGTACATGTAGGGGAACTCTCAAAGTGAAAATTCCCTCCAGCAATGCAAATCTTCAGCTATGTAATTTGGAGTCTTGGAGACTTGGCTGGGGCACTGAGAGGTTAACTAACTTTCCCAGTCACATAGCATGTGTCAGAAGGAGCACTTGAACCCAGGTCTTCTTGACTTAAAAAATTACACCATGCTGCCTCTCAGTCCTTTTGGTTGTATCCCTGAAATGGATTGTCAGGAAACTTTCTTCAAATTGAAATAAGTCATAACTGGATTTTGTTCATTCATTCCCCAGCCAGATATTTATTGAGCACCATCTATGTGCAAAGCATTGTGGTAGGTTCTGAGTATGCAAAGTACAAAGGTGATCAAAAGATAAAAGGCCATCTTTAGATGCTTACTATAATTTTCATTCAAATATGCAGATATTGGGATTGAGATTCATCAAAAGGAAGAAAAAATTAATCAAGATAAACTGGAAGAACTTCTTAAAGAGGCACAGGATGAAGTGTGGGCAAAGGTAAAATATCTTGAAACCTATTTAAAATCGTTATTTTCAAAGTCTTACACCAAGATCGGCATCTTGTCTCTCATGTTCTATTCAAAAGTGTCCTGTATAATTCCAGAAAAGGTCTTTGTTCAAAGTCGTGTGTGTGTGTGTGTGTGTGTGTGTGTGCGTGTGTGTGTGTGTGTGTTTGCATGTGCATGCATGCATACAAGAAAAATACCACCAGGGATACAACTGTTCTGTATTGCCTGGGCCTCTTTTTGGCAGACTTCCTCTCATTCTCCATGCCTACACCATGTGTCTGTGGACTTACACTTCATTCTGATGGGAATCATGGAGCTAAATCAAGCAATTTGGAGTCCCCCAAACCTTGACAATCCTCTTTAAAAAACAGTGAGTGGGACCATTAAGGAGGCACACAGTCTTTCCTGAAAGTGTTCCTTTCCCATTCCAATTATGTTGACTTGTTGCTGTACAAGTTGACTCACTGAATGGTTGTAAAGATCAGCAAATAGACAGGTTTGAGATGGTGTCATGGAGTACTGGACTTGGCATCAGGAAGATCCTGCCATACTTGCTCACTGGCATTGTTATCCTGGACAAATCCTTTCATTTATCTCTCAGCCTCAGTTCCCTCATCTATAAAATGGGAATAATGATAGCACTGAAATGATGATAATAAAAACACTTAACTCACTGAGTTGTTGAGATCAAATGAGATAATATATGTAATGTTTTTTGAGCCTTAAAGTGCTACATGCTAGCTATTATTATTAGACTACAGCATGTGATAAAGAGGGCTGACATTATGAAAAGCTATAGGCACAAGTACTCTTTCATTTCTTCATCTATAAAACAGGAACAAGAAGAAACATGTTCTAATGGACAGACGTGACCTCAGAGACAGGAATGATAATAATAGCTGGGATTTAGATAATACTTTAAGGTTTGCAAAAAACTTTACAAATGTTTTACTCTCACAATAATCCTGGGAGGTCGGTACTGTTATTATCCCCATTTTACAGATGAGGAAACTGAGGTCTACAGAGGTTAGGTGATTTGCTGAAGGTCACACAGCTATTAAGTGTCTGAGGCTGCATTTGAACTCTGGTCTTTTTTACTCCAATCCCAAGCACACTATCCACTGCACCACTCTTATGTGCCATTTGTTAGGCCCTACCTCTGGTACCTGATGGCTGAATGACTTGGTTAAGTCTTTGAACATAGTTCCAAGCCACTCTCTTAAGAATATTAGTTGCAGAACAGTTGCCAATCTACTTTGGTAAAGGAAGTTTCCACAGTAGGAACTCCCCACATCAGTGAAATCACATGAAGGTTATACTGTAGAATTGACTTGAGGACAGAGGCTTAGTGAAGGAATTATCAATGGACAAGAGAAGTAAATGGCACAAGATTATAAGATCCTAGAATTGAGATCTGAGATCTGAAAGGACCATAGAGAATGCTATAGTCCAAACCTAAATAACAAAGGCTCAGTTTGGGTGTGGATGAACATATTTCTCCATGGGATATAGACCAGGTTGAAGGCCATGCTGACCACCTGATGTGGGTAAATATAATTCTGAATCAATTGATCATAAGGTGATAGTCTTCTAGATATATCCATAGATTAGATGTTTATGTAAGGAAGAAACACTGGAATGGGAAACTCCATGTAGGGTTTTCAGTAGTTAACATATTTTGGTCAATTGGAAGAAAATTTGGAAGCGACAAAGACATAATGAGTAAAAGCGTCTGTAATAATAACTGATATTTATATAGTACTCTAAGGTTTACAAAGTGCTTTATTTACATTATCTCATTTGAGCCTTAAAACAACCCTTTGAATTAATAATAATAGTAATAGTAACTGCATTTTATATAGCCCTTTAAGGTCACTTTATAGATATTATTTTATTTGATCCTCTCAAGAAGCCTATGAGATAGGTGCTGTTACTATGCCCATTTTTCAGATCCAGATACTGAAGCAAACAGAGGTTAAGTGACTTGCCTAAGGTCACATAAAAAGTAAATGACAGAGAGAATTTGAACCTAGATCTTCCTGACTTTAAATCTAGCATTTTATCCACTCTACATAACAGTATTATCATCCCCATTTTATGCAAGAATGAACTAAGGCTGAGAGGCTAAATGATTTGCCCAGGATTACTTACTGCCAAAGGCAGGATTTGAACCCGGGTCTAGAACTCTGTCTATCATGCTGTACTGCCTCACAATGTAGTTTTAAACTTTAATAGCTAACCAAGCTATTGATTTGATATCTATTTGATAGCTTCATAAACCAATCCAATCAACTTGGGAGGACATGTGGTGACATAGGAAGAAACTGGATAAGGAGTCAGGCCACCTGGCTTCCAGGCCTGTATCTGACCTCTGTGAGTAGGGAGACCTTGGACAAATTATTTCATTTCTCAGGGGCCTCAATTTCCCCATGTGTAAAATTAGAGGGTTGGGATAAAATCCTTTTCAAATGTAGTACTCTGTAATTTTGATTTGTTTTCATGATATGCATGAAATATAGTTATTGTGCTGTAGCAAATCAAAGATCAGTATGTGGCATATGATTGCCACCAAGGATTTTGTTATCCAGCCTGAAGGTGTATGGCATCCATTGTGATGCTCAGAGTTTTCGGTTTGGGGGATAAGTATAAGATCCACTTTCAAGGTTTTTACTCTCTTGCCTTAAGGTGCAATAACACATCACTAACAGAGGTCCTAATGTGTCCTCTTTCAGCCTTGAACAGCCAGAGCTTCTGGAAGTGAAGGAGCCTTGATACAGAAGGGAAGAAATGACCAGGATCAGTATTCAACCAGTCAGTCAACAAGCCAGACTTTGAGCTAGGCAGTAGAGAATCAAAGACAAAAAATGAAACCTTCCCCAAAACCATCTCAAGAGAACTTACATTAGATGAAGGGTGATAGAGCCCAGCTATTTATGGAAGGGCTGGCACCCCCAGTCTAGAAAGAACCCATCCCTGTCCCTCAAACTCATGAATGAACTGTCCCCTGGGGCATGGCCATCCTTAGAGGGAAAAGTGACTGCTGTCACCTAGAATTTATTTTAGTGAAGGAACTAGCCCTTTAGGAACCAGGTACCCAGGAGAAGAGATTAAGGCCACTGCAGGAATATCTAGTTAGAACTTAGAAAACAGGCAGAAGGGAAGTGGTAGTAAAAATATTTGACAATTTGAATAAGAGCACATCGATGTTGTGGCATAATGGAGTGGTAAGTGAACTGGATTTGGAGCTGTAGGAACTAGGTTTGAACCCAATTCTGATGCTACCTGGCCTCAAGCCAGAATTGACTGTCTCGGTCTTGATCTTGTTTTGGTTTTAGTCTATAGAGTGAAGGCATTGGACTAGATTAATATTTTAAGATCCTTTTCATCTCTGTGTCCTGGGACTCATCATGGTAGAATGGAAAGAGTCATATATTTGTAATGAGAGGACTTAAATTCTGACACTATTTTCAACCTTTGACACCTTGGGTAACTTGCTACTTTGAGACTCAATTTCCTCATCTGTAAAATGAGGGGGTTTATTATCTTCAAGGTACCTTCTGGCCTATGATCCTTTCATTTATAATGCATTGGGAACCCACATCAAACAGAATAAAGAGGCCTTGTACTGAGGAGGGCTCTCTCTGAAGAAACTGGACAGCTCCTCCATTCGTCCGAAGCAGGCTCTTCCTGCACTGGACTGTGTACTGAGAACAGCACTGTTTGCCCCCTGATTTACAATAACCTTCTCTTTCTGGTGCAGGCTGCAAACAAAGTCAGTCACTAGAGGGAGGTAGAGTCCACAAAGTAAGTGGATGCGTGGCTTTGCTTACTGTCAGTAAATTTGGATTTACTGCTCCACTCCTCAAGATAATGGCAAATTGACTTTGCCAGTTCTCAGAATAAATTAATAGATTTTCTTACGTGGAATTTCTCTCCCTCCCTCTCTCTTTCTCTTTCTCTCTCTTTTTTAAAAAAAGGCTGAGGTCATGACAGAGGAAGCAGTGAAAAAAGCCGTCAAGAAAGTCCATGATAAACACCTGGAGGAAATAGAAACTTTAAAGGAAGAACACAAAAATGAATTGGAGGTTTGCACTGACTTGTTTGGTATACTTGTAAACTTACTTCAGGCAGTGGGGAAAATATCTAGGTAGTGGGATGAAACAGAATCATATGGAAGACTGAGGTCAGTGCACCTCAGAGAAAGGGTGGGGGGAGGGGTGATGGGATCACAGGAGTTTCAAAGGGGCTAGTAGGAATAGGAGGAATGGGGTGGGAAGAGGAAGTCCTTCTGAGCCCAATAGTAAACAGCTGTACAGTGATGGGAAGACCACATCCACTTCTTGGGCTCCCTCCCTGTTTTTCCCTTCTTGGGTCACCATGCTGAAAGGGGAAGTTGGAGCCATGGAGTTCCACAGCAGAGACATGGCAAACTTTAGGCCAAGGCATAGATAGCCCTTAAGCTGTCTTTCCTGCTGTGGAAGCATGCAGGCCTCACAAAGGAAGGCAACTCTTAGAGCCATTCCTGAACTAAGAAATCAAAAGGTGAGACTGGCAGATTTCCCAGGAAGAAGTCCAGCCTAGCAGCTTAGCTAATTGTCTCTGGCTTCAGGAAATGTGCTCTGGGAAATAGGCTTCAAATCAGCCATTTTGATTTTCTGTCCAGGAGAGACTGATGCTAGAACGATAACAACAACAGCAATGTAATGATAGCTAGATATATGAATCACTTTAAGGTTTAAAGCCAGAGCCTTTTACGTGTGCTGTCTTATTTAATCCTCACAACAACCTTGGGAGATAGGTGTTGTTATCATGCCCCATTTCATAGATGAGGAAGCTGAGGCTGAGAGGGGTTAAGTGACTTGCCCACAGCCACTCAGCTTGTGTCTGAGGGATGATTTCAATGCAGGTCCTGATTCTAGGTCCATGGAATTAGTTGGGGGAAATTGGGCTCAAAGTTTAAGTTTTACTTATAGAATGTGGTATATGGCCTCATAGTCGTAAGATTACAGGGTCAGGTTATTCAAAAGAAGGCTCACTGTGGTAAGAACGGGGAGCAGTGGGCCAAAGGGAAGGGGGCAGGGAGGCATGTTGCTTTAGGCCTTGTTACCAGAAGGCAGGCAGTTCTGCAAAAGGTAATAATTGGGATGGTGAGGAATTGGGGAGATGGGAGGGTGGACACTGGTTTCTTTCATGTCTACTCAAATGTAAATTGGAGCCAACCTAACCGTCTCAAATTCCAATAGGTCATGAGAGTTCTCAAAGCATTGGAGGAGAGAAGAGGAGATACTAGATTTTCCTTTGCCATTTTGTGCCTATTTAGCATTGCACCACTGGGTTACCTAGAAGCTTGAAGTAGCCAGAAAAAAAAGAACCTTGTTCTTTTGTTTAAAGTAGATTATATTTACAAAAAAGTGGGTGATGGAATGGGGAAAGCTCTGCATTTGGAATCAGAAAACCTAGCTAGTTCTGCCAGAAAGCTGGTTCTGATATGTCCGTGCTGTGAGACTTTTCTAAAATTTAATTCCCCCAGCTATAAAATGAGAAGGCAAGAGCTGTCCTGCTACTTCAGAAGGGCATTGTTAGGCATGTGCTTGCAGAGTGCTATATAAATGAGAGACATTAGATGGGAGATAATAAAATGTAAATATTTGAGAAAAGGATCTTGCATCTACAGAATTCTCTTTGCTAACTGCACAGATACACTTGGACTTGAGGGCTGGATATTTCTTTTTCAAACTGATTTATGTCTCTCAATAGCTATTTGGTTTTTATTTTTGTTTTGTTTACTCTTTTTGCATTGATAGTGTTTTTCTTTCCTTTTCCTCTTTGGTAACTACTCAGGATTACATTTAACTGTGGAGCATCAACAATAGAATTATTTCCCAATGCTCACTGATAACTCAGCAGAAGGTAGTGAAAAGAGTGGCTGCACTCAGGATACGTTGATGGGTGTCTAGGACCCAGGCTGGCTTTAGCCTTCTGGTTGCTTGGGCAAGTGACTAAAGCATTCAAAGCCTCAGTTTCCAAATCTACAAAATGGGGATACTTACCAACTTTGAAGCACTGTCCTAAGGAGCAAATGAGATACCATATGTGAACATGCTTTGAAAGTATGGGACACTGAAGATATTGAGTGGTTCTGTAATTCCCAGAAGAGTATTTTTAAGATATAGTAACCATCACTGTATATGTTGCTTGTATTGAGGAGCATCTACCTTCAGTATTATCTGGATGAACTCAGATCAAGGACTGCTTTTACCGTGGGGAGAATGGGAAGTATTACAAATCTAAGCTCAACCTGTATCATAAAATAGCACAACTCATTAAGTTCCAGGATTTGTTCATTTGTTAGGATGGTCCATGTTATTTTAGAAGCCAAACTTCACTCTCTAGATATCAAGGATCCCAATAGTAAAGACTGTCACCTTGAGATCATTATGACTCCTAGTTATACCTCTTTTTCCTTATCATGCCCCACATCTTTAGCACCTAGATGTAGGTTTGTAGCTCCTGGGGTGTCTCTTACATAGTAGTGAGTATTTAAAATAGGCCTCCTATGTGCCAGGCACTGTGTTGAGTGCTTTACATATATCTCATTTGATCTTCATAATAAACCTTGTGAGGTAGGTGCTATTATTATCTTCCATTTTACAGTTGAGGAAATTGAGGCCATTTGAGGTTAAATAATTTGCCCAAAGTCATACAGCTAATATATGAAGCCAGATTTGAACTTAGGTCTTCCTAACTTCAGGCTTAGCACTCTATCCATTGTGCCACCTAGCTGCCTCATGTGGGTCCCCAGAAAATCCATCTCAGGCTCAAGGCACTTTTTGTGAGTCAGCATCCACTTAGAACCATACATAGCTCATGAGCCCCTATCAGTGTGTTTCCTTTACTAGGCCCAATAGGAGACACATTAGTTCAAAAGACAGCTAATTAAACAGTATAGAAAAGTAAGTGACAACCCCTATACACTTAACAAGTTGCCATGCCACCTGTGCGAGAGGAAAAACATATAGGGAACACATATGACCAGGAAACATGAAGAGAGGTATATTTAAGGAAGAGGTATATTTAAGGAACATTTGGGACCAAGGAATATGTAGGAAGAGCCATATATGTAAGGAATTCATGTTTCTAGGGTATATGTTTGGCTGGCACAACTCAGGCCTTAGATGCTGCAGAGCCATCTATATCTTCTGGTGAAGCAGGCTGACTGCTTTATCTCTTGAACCAGGGTCTCTCCTGCTTTATTCTCTCAGCTGGATAAAGTTACCTTCTTCTGGTTAAGGGAGGGGGGGAGTTTGTTGTTGTTGTTGTTGTTGTTGTTTTGGTTTGTTTTTGGTTTTTTGTGCTACCATCTACTGATCTTCAGCTTCTGGGAAGCTTCTTTAGATCTTCTGCTTGGGTCATGTACAACATTACTTCATTTTTTGACAGAATGCTATGTTCATAGAACTAGGGATAGGCATAGACAAAACATTATATGGATCTCAGCAAGGTATTTGATAAAGCCATTATGTACTTGTGGACAAGACAGGGAACTATTGATTCAATTTGATTTAATAAACATCAAGTGCCTATGAACAGTGCAAAGCACTGTTCTAGGTACTGGAGATACAAAGGCAAAAATAAATGATCCCTGCTCTCAAAGAACTTACATACTACTGAGGGTTTACAACATGTATACAAAAAAGTAAAGGAGAAGGAAAATTGAGGAGGGGGAGAGAAATAACAACTGAGGGGATCAAGAAAAGTTTCATAGAGGAGGTGTGGCATATGAACCAAACCTTGAAAGAAGAGAAAGATTATAAGAGATGGAGAAGATCAGGAAGTCCATTCTAAGTATGAGGGACACTAGGTGGAGCTTGGAGTGTAGAGTTCAAGGAACAGTCCAATCTGAGTGGAAAATAAAAATTTATGAAGAGGAGGACTATGAAATAAGGCTGTAAATGTGCATGTCAGGGACTCCAGTTGTGGATTCTTAAATGCCAAACTAAAGGATTTGTCTTTTATCCTATAGGCTTATCAAATGCTGAAGGTTTTGAAACCAAAGCAACTTAAACCTCTTAGACTTGTGCCCCAAGAAGATTATTTTAGCAGCTATATGGAGGATGAATTACAAAGGGAAGAAACTGGAAGTAGGACAACCAATTACAAGGCTGTTATTGTACTCCAACATTTAAAAAAAAGTTTTCACTAGACCTTGCCATCCCTTAAAGGATAATAATCATATGTCTCACTTCCCCTTCTCAGCCTAATTCCTAAAAAATGCTATCAATACTCCTTGCTTTACTTCCTCTCTTCTCATTCTTCAGTTCTTTGCAATCTGGCTTCTGACCTCATCTCTCTCTCTCTTGCTAACTTGTCATCCATGTCATACTCCCTATCTAAAGGTATTCTCTTCTTTTCTTCAGTCACGACGCATTCTTTTTGTGACTTCATCAGCTATCATGGGTTTAATTATCAAATCTATGCAGAAGATATCTCTAACCTAAGTCTCTCCCCTCAGTTTCAATCCCACACCATCAGTTGCCTCTTGAACATTTAAAACTGATGGTCCCAGAGACATCTCAAACTCAACATGACCGAAAAAATGAAGTCATCATATTTCACCCCTCACCAAGCTTCTGTTGAAGATACCACCATCCTTCCAAGTCTCCCGTTTACATGACCATTATCCTTAACTCACTCTGACTCCACGAATCTAATCAGTTACCGAATCTTACTGTTCCTACTTCTACAACATTACTTGCATTCAATTCAATGTTTCTTTTCATACCACTGCAACCAGAGTTCAGGCCCTCATCATCTTCTGTCTAGACAATAGCCTCCTAATTGGATTCCTGCTTCAAATCTCTTGCCACTCTAGTCTGTCCTCTACACAGCTACCAAAGTAATTTTTCTTAAGCACAAATCTCTAGTCAATCAACTTGTGGTCCTCTATAGCTTTTTGATCAAATCTTAACTCCTTTGTTTGACTTTTAAAGCCCTTGACAGCCTTGCCCTAACCTATCTTTTCAGCCTCGTTGTATGTCACTTTCCCCTATGTATTCTACAGACCAGCTAAACTGGCCCTCTCTTGTTCCTCACACACACACTACTCCATCTTTCATTTGTGTGCCTTTGTAGTTACTGTCCCCTGTGCCCATGTAGCCCCTTATCTGCAAAGAGTCTGATGGGAAGTGCATTTTTTTCCACATAGAAGAAGGGACTACAGGATCATGAAAGGTGTGAGCACTGGCTATGCAGTGATGCTTATGACTAAAACCAGGAGAAGGCTTGATTTGTAGTCTGCTCATCCAGAAGACATTTTTAATGAAAACTCTTGAGAGAGGTTCAATAAGGAATTATGCAATCCTATGGACTTACAGTTTAGGAGTATTAGTGGCAGAAGGGATATGGATTCTTATTCTGCAAGGGGAGAAGCAGCTCTGTTTCTGTCATGACACCGCAGCAAGCTTTAAGAATGCTCACTCAGACAATAGAGAAGAATATAAAAAGGAGCAAGGAAGGCCTAGTTTCTAGAACATCTGAATATGGAACCAGAGAGACAGCTAGGTAGTGCAATGGATAGAATACTAGACTTGGAGTCAAGAATGCCCTCAGTTCAAATCCTTCCTCAGATACTTAATACCTAAGTACTTTACAAAAGTGTTACTCTGGGCAAGTCACTTAGTCTCTGTCTGCCTCAGTTGCCTTAACTGTAAAATGGGGATTATAACAGCACCTACTCTGCAGTATTGTGAAGATCAAATAAGATAATATTTGTAAAGTACTTAATACAGTGCCTGGCATAATATAGTTGTTTAGTCATTTTTCAGTCGGTTCTGACTCTTCATGACCCCATTTGGGGTTTTCTTGGCAAAGATACTGGAGTAGTTTGCCATTTCCTTCTCAATTCATTTCACAGATAAGGAAACTGAGGCAAACAGAGTTAAGGGACTTGCCCCGGGGTCACACAGCTAGTAAGTATGTGAGGTTAGATTTGAACTCAGGAAGCTGAGTCTTCCTGACTCTAGGCCCAGAACTCTATGCACTATGGCACCACCTAGCTGCATATAGTAGGTGTTACATAAATACTTCACTTGCCCTCATCCACCCAGTGTCATTAATTGATAAGATCTCTATACAATCACCTGTTTCTTCCTCTGTGGTAAAAGCAGTATTTCCTAGGGCCCACCATAGAGACTGAGTTAGCTTTTCCTTGAACCTCATACCACACAGGGTAAACTAGTTTTTCTTTAAAAAGTATTGAAACCATCCTCAAGACTTAATTGCCTCAGAAAATTAAGGCTTAAGCTATTGATTGATAACTTCCTAGTAACCTAGGTATTAAAAATGCGAGGCATTAGGAACCACCTGACTCTTCCTTTAGGCTTCTGACTGGCAGATCAGCATGTCCCTCATAGGCACAGCGAAGCTGAGTCAATGCTGTATCTTTGATGGGTATCCTTTCCATGCTGTGGCTAGGTAATTCTGCTTTTGGTAACTGATAGATAGACTATAAAAGAGATGGTAAGTGACAGGAGCCAGCATGAGACACTACTGACTCAAACCCTAGGCTTGCTGATAGAAAAAAGTGAAAAGAATCATAGCCTGGGGCCCCACAGTGGGGCTTGAGGTGAGTACTAGAAGGGAAGTCCCATCAATTATATAACCATAGCACCTTCACCCTGACTCCAATCTCTCTCCTTCTCCCCATTGACTTGCTTCTAAATAAGTAGTGGAGATAACAGTGATAGAGAAGATAGGGGTATGCTGTTCTTCTCCCAGTGCCAATGGGGTATGAGCCTAGGGGGAAAAAAGTTTTGAATTTTATCATATTGGATTATAGAACTAGAATTGGAAGGGATCTCAGAGACCATCTAATCCAACCCCCTCATTTTACAGATGAGGAAACTGAGGCCCAGATTTTCCCATGGTCACACAAGTAGTAAATTGCAAAGCTAAGATTCAAATCCATGTTTTTTTTGTTCCAAATCTAGTGCTCTTTCTACTATGTGACACTGGCGTAACCAGGGTAGACTATTGACAAATCATTTAACTTACCTGAAGCACTAAATAAATATAGATGTGTTGTAGGAACACCATCTGTCTGGATCTGTGCAGTATAGAAGTCTCACCTATTTGCAACACAAGCCCAGTGAACAGTCAAAAGAGATATCACTAACTCCACATGGTAAAGGAGACGCTTTACACAGAGGAGAATCCCTCAAACTCTTTCTAAGAGCTATTTACTCTTAATACTACCTAGGTGTTCGGGTGTCTAAGCCCAAAGTTGATCAGAAGCAGTCAATTAGAAGTGAGGAGAAAGACTGCAGTTGACAATTTCATTCACCAATAAGGGAATTGGGTGGAGCCAAGATGGCAGAGTAGAGGCAAGAGCTCAGATGAACTCTTTCAATATTCCCCTCCAAAAAGCTTTAAACTACTGCCTTAAATTGAATTCTTGAGCAGCAGAGCCAATAAAAGGGCAAGGTGAGACATTTTTCCAGTCCAAGACAACTTAGGAGGTCAGCAGGAAAGGTCTGTGGCACTGAGGTGGGGTTCAGCCTGGAGCACAGTGCACACCACTGCAAAAACCTCCAGCAGGCCTTGGAGGTGCTGCAACAGTGGTGGCAGCAGCTTTGGGGGCTTTCAGCCCACAGATGGTAAGACAACTGGTCGGAAAGAGATTAAGGGTTATCCTTTGCCAGTACTGGGTTCAGGACCCTATTGCATTGTCCATAAGCAGTTCTGCATTGCAGTTCCAGGATGAAGAGGAGCACTAGCACTTGGGGCCACTGGGAGAAAAAGCTCTGGTCACAGTTCCAGGGCAAAGAAGAGTGCTTGTGGCCACATACAAGGAAATGGAACCTGGTCAGTTACAAGAAAGGAGCACTAGTGCTTGCAGCCACAGGAGAACAGGGGCCCAAGTCAGAGTTCCAGGGCCAAGAGGAGGGCTAGCACTTGGGGCTACAGGGGAACAAGGTCCTTTTCTGGGTAAAGACTGGAGCACAAGCCAAGAAGGAGAGCAGTGACCACACCTCACCTTGGGACAACCAAAAACTCACAGACCCTCAGAACTTGCTTTGAAAACAGCAGCATGAAAAACTTGAAGCTTGGTATAGCTCTGCCACTTTAGGAGCAGAGCCCAACTTTAACATAAAGTTAAAAGCCAAGAAATAGGCTTGGAAAAATGAGCAAACGACGACAACAAAAAATAACCTGACCATAAAAAGTGACTATGGTGACAGGGAAGATCATGACATGAACAAAGACAACAATGTCAAAACAGCTACAAACAAAGCTTCAAAGAAAAAAAGGGAACATAAACCCAACAAGAATTCCTGGTAGAGCTCAAAAAGAATTTTAAAAATCAAATGAGAGATAGAGAAAAAATTGGAAAAAGAATTGAGAATGATGCAAGAAAATTATATAAGAGAGTCAATAGCTTGGTAAAAAGAAACAGGTAAAAGAACTAACAGATGACTGAAAAGAGTGGGGGAAGAAGAAGGAGGAAGGGATGGAAACAAAAAAAAATTCTAAAAAGTATTTCCAAGAACTCAAAATTCACAGTCTTCTGAAGCCTCTTATTGGAGGGGTAAATGATAGGATGTTTGGCTCTTATTGTATTTATGATACAATTCATAATTATGTGATAATGCTTATATGCAATTCATAATTATAAACATGAAATATATTTATAAGACTGATTCTAACTCTCCAAGAAAGGTTTGTTAGAACACAGTATGCTTTTGTTTTTGTGTTGTTTTTTTTTTTTAACAGGGCTGGGAAATGTATAATACATACAGGATCATAGAGTTACAATTAAAAGGGACTTCTGAGATCACTTATTCCAACCTCTTCACTTTACAGATGAGTCAGCTGAGGTCCGGGGAGGCTAAGTATCCTACCCAAGGTCAATGAGGTAATAAGAGGGTCCCAATCAAAAGAAACAATTGCAAGCAAGTATTATGGAGTCACCAGGAGGGCTGCAAGCCCCAAGAAAAAATCTGTTATCTAGAGCTTCATTTATAGGATCACAGATCTAGAATTAGAGGGACTTTAGAAGTCATCTAGTCCAGTCCCCGCTATTTCACAAATGGTGGGGCTGAGGCCCCAAGAAGTGAAGTGAATTAATTACCCAAAGTGATACAGGCAGTAGGTGGCGGAGCTAGAATTCAGACAAAAGTCCTCTGACACCAAATCCAGTGTTTATTCCACTGTACCATACCCTTCCCAATCATGGAGTGCTTGGCACTTTAAGATGCCATAAAGTATATAAAAAGTATATAAAGTGAGGCAGCGAGGTGGTGCAGTGGAGTCAGGAGGACCTGAGTTCAAATCCAGATTCAGACACTTGACATTTATTAGCTGTGTGACTGTGGGCAAGTCACTTAACCCCAATTGCCTCACCAAAAAGCAAATGAACAACAGCAACAAAAAGGATATAAAGTGTATAAAAATGTCTTATAAACCTAAAAGTACTATCTCAGTACCAATGTTACCAGTGCTTTACCATGGGAAACATTGCAGCTTCCCCCTCGGCAATAGCATCTGGACATGGTGTTGTCCCTATATTCATTTATATAATTTGAAGGTATAATTTAGCATCATCCACTATTTAAATCCTGTTTTAATGTTGCTTAAGGAAAGAGTGAAACTCACTAAGCAAGAGATGAGAGAGATCATGGAAGAGGAAATGAGGAGAGAAAACAGGGCTGCTGAACAGCGCATGGTCCATAGAATCCAGAAGATCCTGAAGGAGTGCCATGATGAAAAGCTCCAGGCAATCGAAGAAGTCAGAGCTGAAGAACAACAAATAGCTACTGAATTACTGAATAAGCAGATGAGGTAGTCTTCAAAATCCCCAGGCAAAAATCCTATTTTTTTCCTATCCAAAACACTTCTAAGTAAATGATAAAAGACTTTTTTGTTGAGGTTTCCTTAAGTGTTCCATCAGAAATGATCACCAAGATAATGTGGTGAATAATAGTGAGATCCAGGGAGTGACTGTTCTTATTCATAGTTGCGGTGGAGTGAAGGAGTAGAGTCATGGGATTTCAAGAGATTTAGGAATTGAGAGATTGGATAGTTGTACAACTCAAACACCACCTTCTTCTACAGGAAGGATTTCAGGTTCTCTCTCAACTATAAATGCCCTCCCTCCCTAACTACCTTGTAATTAGGATAGGTATAGGGACTGAACCTGTCATTTCATTGGGTTCCTCAGGTGAGGGAACTCCCCCTGTCATTGCAAATTGGCACCTTCTCTGCCACTTAGAGCAGAGGTTAGCAGACTACTGGCTCAAAGGCCAAAACCATTGCAAGTTAAGAATGGCTTTTACATTTTTTGAATAAAGTTTTATTGTATTTAAAAGTCTAGGAACTATTCACAGTTCACAGCTTTAAAACAAACAAGTAGATGGGCCAGATTTGACCCTGGGAGGTAGTTTGCTGACCCGATTTTAGAAAGTTGTCCAGATCACAGAAATGTTTAAGTGACTTGCTAGAGTGCGTCACACAAGTTAATATGTGTTAGAGTTAATACTCGAACTCAGGTCCTGGTTTTGAGGCTGGCTCCCTGCTATGTCATACCATTCTTTCATCTTGTATTTATTTTTTTAATATTTATTCTATAATCATTTACATTGTTGCCTCACCCACTAGACTGTAAGTAGGGAATCACTTCACTCTTTGTATTTGTAGTCCCAGCACCTAGCCCTCTGCTTGGCATAGAGGAGGCACTGAATCCATAGAGGAGGCTTGTTCATCATTGATGAATGAGTTGGTTATCGATTAATTGATAACCTCCTAATGGTCCAAACCTGTGTCATTATTTTTAGGAAGAATGAGGAGAAAATCCTGGAAGTTGGGATTCTCTCTCACAAGACTCTTGAAAAAAGTATAAAAGAAGTCACCGGAGCCACGAAATACCAGATGAGCATCGCTTTTAACCTCAGCCAAAAAGAGAAGGAAGAAGAAGTTAACCAAGTGCTTAAGGAGACGGAGAAGTTTCATAAGGCTGCCATAAGGAAAGTTTACAAAAAGCTGACCCTCACTGAAGACAAGCTGCAGGAGAAGACTGAGCGTCTGGAGAACATGACCCAATGGAAGGACTTCCTGGAGGAGGAGCTACTGGAAACCCGTGAGGCTTTTCAGAAATACATCAATTCTACATTTCCTATGCTTGCACCAGGGCAAGCATATTTTATTCTACCACTAAGAAAGAAATTACCCATTGATATAGAAGAATATGCTGAAGACAATGTTAGATCGTTCCGGAGTTGAGATCACTTGAAAAGCCAGTTGTTATTCTGGTCACTAAATAAATTCATTCAATGAGTCTTCCTTGGGTACCTCTTACTTAGGGTTAGGCAGCTAGTTAGCCCAATAGCTGGAGCAATGGACTTGGCATGAGGAAGACCTGATTTCAAATACTACCTCAGCCACTTAGTAGATATTAGACCCTGGTTAAAGTCAGTCAGTCAACAAGCATTTATTAAATAATTACTGTGTCCCAGGCACCGTGGTAAGCATTGAAGATAAAAAGGAAAGGGAAGAAAACAGTCCTTGCCTTAGAGGAAGGTACATTCTAATCAAGGAGGCAACATGTAAACAACTAGATACCTGTAAGATATGTACAGAATAAATGAAGGTAATCTAAAGGAGGAAGGCATTAACAAGTGGAGGGACTGGTTAAGGCTTCATGTAGAAGGTGGGATCTGAGCTGAATCTTGCAGAAAGTGTAAGGATAAGTGAGGGTTAAATTGTAACATAGCATAGTTTTAGGGAGTAGTCTTCTATAATTCCCCAGCTCCTTCCAAGGACAGGTGCACATACTGGAATCAAAGTAAACAGATTGTTCTGTTAATGTTATGTCAACATTATTGATGCCCCTAGGTCACGATAAATTTAGCAGTGAAGAAATAATGGGATGATGGCTGTGGGAAATGGTTGTATTGAGATAAGTTCTAAGAAATGGTTGTATTAAAATAAGTTCTAAGAAATAGTGGTGGTGTGCACAAGTTGTTTAGATAATATCTATAGAATTTATTGCTCTGTTATCTGTATTTTAAAAAAAAACCCATTGTTGTGGATTTATCTTGTAGTCTCTTCCACAAACTACCTATGTACATGAATATTCTTTGGACGCCCCTATTTTCCTCTTTCCATAAACTCCCTGTTATTTCAAAGACTGTCTCCATGTAGGTTCGTCTCAACCTAACAGAAGCCAGTTGGAGGTGAAGGGGCAGAGCATTCCAGGCATAATCATGCTTTGCTGAAAGGGTGTTGAATACAGGGCTGGCAACAGACTCTGACTGTCACCACAGAACAAGCCTGGCTGATTATGGGGAAACTTGTCTCTAGAGGTTTGGTTACTAAGTGATTAGAGAAGGGGAAAGAAAGGGAATAAGCATTTGTATAATGCCTACCATGTGCCAGGCAGTGTGCTAAGTGCTTTACAAATATGATCTCATTTAATTAATTAATCCAGTCTTTGTATATCATGAAACTTTTGGAGGAAGTGCCCATACTGATAAAATCAGGGATCTTTTGGATTGTTTTAATTAGAAATATGTGACAAAAGGCAACATGGTGATAAAGAACCTGCCTTGGAGTAAAGAAGCGTTGGGTTCAAGCCCCACTGACATATACTGACTGAATGACCTTAAGACTGTTAGTTATAGGAACAATTACAGATTCACATTGCTAAAGGGAATTTCTTCACTGAGCATTCTCTACACACATGATGACATATGATAGTAAATATTTTTTAGTTCTCAATGTGTGCCAAGAATTATGCTAGGTGATAGAGATACCACACTACCCCCATAAATATGATATGAAATATTATGATATATAATCTCAATTTATAGAATGCTTTATAGTTATAAGCATTTTACATATGTAATTTAATTTTCACAATAGCCCTGGGATATAGATAGTGAAAGCATTTTCAACAACCTCATTTTATATGTGGGGAGACTGAAAACCTTAAGATTATTGTAATGAGAGTAATAACAATAACAATAATAAACACATTTCTATGACATTGAAGGTTATCTCTTGTGCGTCCTTCAAAACAGCCTCTTGAGATAAATAGTACAATATTTATCCCCACCTTACTTATGAAACCAAAGTTTAGAGGATGAATGCTTTGCCTATGGTAGTTATGTCAACATAGCGATTCAAACTCAGGTGTCCTGACTCCAGATAATAATAGCTAGCATTTCCATAGCACTTTAAGGTTTGCAAAGTGTTTTGCACATATTATATCATTTGATCTTCACAATAACCCTGGGAGCTAGGTGCTATTGTTGTCCCCCCCTTTTACAGATGAAGAAATGAAAACTAAGAAAAGTTAAATGGCTTGCCTAGGTCACATAGCTAGTTAATTATCTGAGGTAGGATTGGAATTCAGGACTTCCTGACTCCAAGACCAATACTCTATCCATGACTATACTACCTGGCTTCCCAAATTCAACTTTTTTATCACTCCAGTTTTTCTCACTTGCAATCCAACTCCCAAGGCAAAAAGTTTCTCACTATATTATATCCTTCTCCATTGCTCCTTCCTCTCTTCCTACACACATGCCCAGGTCTCCCCACTCCAAAAATGCTATTACTTTGACCCTGCCAGCCCATTCATCTATCTTCCTATTTCTCTTCTCTCCTTCACATCTAAACTCCTAAAATTGAACCTGTCTCACCATCCACCAAATTCCTCAGCCCCTTAAATTTGACTTCCATACCCACTGCTTTCCTGAAAATGCTGTTTATATCCAATGGCTTTTTTTTCTAAAGGCCTCACTTCATCTGCCTACATATTCCTGAAGCATTTGTTGTTTTATCATTATTACTTAGCTACTTACACAGTCTCCCCACCAACTGCTCTGTAAAAATGGACAGGGGCCAAACAGTAACAGGCTTTTGCTATACACATAATTGGTGTTTAACGTATGTTTTTTAATAGGACTAAATTGAATTGAATTTTCCCCCCAAATTCCAAAATTCTGCAAGAAGCCTTTCTTCTAAGGTTATCTCCAATAATACACACACACACACACACACACACACACACACACACACACACACACATTATATATGTATGCATATCTTATTCATACATAATTATTTGTTCTCTCCCCATTACACTATGATTTTTTTGAAAGAGACTGCTCTTTTGCCTCTCTCTTTGTATCCCCAGTGTTTAGCCCAGTACCTGACACAATAGATGCTTAATAAGCGCATGTTGACTTGCCTTGAAAATCACACAGCTAACAAGCATCAGAGAAGACATTCAAAATCCAATCTTCTGACTCTGACGCTAGTGCTCTGCCAACTATGCCGTATTGCCTTTCCCAAGGGGCTCTCGAAGTCATTGGAGGACCATATGATAGAGTAAGGATGGTTCAGACATCTTAAGACCACTACTGGAAAAGAAAGTCCAACCCAGGACCCTACTGATAGTGGGATCTTGAATCAAAAGTCTTGGTTGCCCTGATGGTGGTTGTTGTATCTTTGACTCAACAGTCATTGCCTGGTTGCATCTCATGTTGGTCAGCCTATTTAGGAGACCAGTTCACAAGGAAGAGGCCGAAAACAGATTTCTTCAAGGAGAAGCAGCTTGTTTTCATAACTTGGGGTAATTTTTTTGAAGGGGCAGTCAATACTGGCATCCTCCCTGTGAGCAGGTCCATTCTCCTGGAGAAGAATTTCTGCTGAAAATCAGCATTAAAATAACCTACATTGCAGAAGGCTCTTCCCCAAGGAGCTAGTTGAGGAGTGAAGTCTTGTCTTAAAACTCAGGGTGAATATTTCAAAATCCCCTGGTACATATATAGTAATGGGGCTTTGCTTTCTGCTTTTGTTTGTTTTTGATGAGGCACTTGGGGTTAAATGACTTGCCCAGAGTCACACAGCTAGTGATTGTCTGTTATGTGTCTGAGGCTGGATTTGAACTCAGCGCCTCCTGACTCCAGGGCTGGTGCTCTATCCACTGCACCACTTAGCTACCCCTGCTTTCTACTTTTGAAGGACGGAGATAGTGCCAGATTTACACATGAGAAGAGGAAACTAATTTGGGGTAGTGGCCCTCAAAAGCTATACCATGGTACTTTAATGGGCTGTGAATTTTACTAGAGGGTACCATGAAATTTTGGATGTTCCATTATTGCAGATAAAAGTAAATATGTAAATAATTTTGCCCAGTACATATTTACCTAGTTTATAAGTAAGGTAAGTATATTTGTAAAGCAAACAAAATTTGTCTGTTACACAAATATATTAACCTCAGAACTGTTCATGCCCTGAACTCACAAAAAACTCAACAAAGATGGCCACTCATATTGCAATGCAACTGCACTGGCTTGTCATACCAACTCTTCCATAATAATGCTGACAACTTACACATTCAGTGTGCTATAAATACTCATGGCAAAGAAGATGGTGCCATGCGTGAAAACATTTGGGAACCACTGGCGTAGGACCTCTGTCTGTGATTGTCCCCTATCTTCTCTCAAACCCATTAAATTTCTAGTTTTACCTAATTGGCTAAAAAATAAAGCAAATAGGATTATCTTTGACTTTTCTCTCTCTTTTCCATCTCAGAGCCAATCAGTTCCTGAGTCCTATCAGTTCTACCTTTTAATCCTTTCATATCTATCCCCTCTTTTTAAGCCCCACTGCCACCATCCTAGTACAAAGTCTCATTATCACCTGACTCAGCTATTGCAATATTCTCCTAATAACTGTTCCTGGGAGGCAGTGAGATATAGTGGAAAGAGCCTTGACTCAAGTCAGAGAAACAAAGTTTAAAATCTTGAATCTGATACTTACTTACCTATATGACTTTGGGCAAATCACTTAACCTCCCTGGATTCCTCACCTAAAAAATTAGAAAGTTGAATTAGATGGCCTCTAAGTTTCCTTCCAGCACCAAATCTATGTCCTAAGTCATCTCTCTCTGCTCAAAATTCTCCAGGGGCTTCCTGTTGCCTTTCAGGTAAAGTTCTGAACTTCTTTGCCTGATCCTCAAGGTATACCTGGTGCAACTCCATCTTTCTGGACTGTTCTCCTATCACTGTCCCCTATACTGTCTATCACACAGTCAAAATGGACTACTCTTTGTCCCTTGAACCCTCCCTGCATACTCCTCTACCTCCATGCCTTTAATATGTTGGTCCCTATTTCTGCTGAATTCCTACCTGTTTTTTAAAGCCCAGCCCATGGTTGGATTTAGAGTGAAAAGAATAGGTGAAGAATTGTTTTCATGGAACTTGGACCTTCGGTGAAGTGAGCTGAGATTCTGATTTTTAAAAAGACGTCAAATAGCTGCCCTGTTG